GAAGCAGTGGAAATGACATTTTAACACTGGCTGGTTTCGGGAATGTGAGTTGCGGACGCGAGCAAGTGAATGGAAAGAGGATTAAATGCAAATGGAGCTCGTCCGCCGTGTGTGAGACAGAGGGGAGTAGGAGATGGACGGCTTGCTGGGATGGTGGTAGGGATGGTGGTAGGGATGGTAGTGGCGGCCGCGAGTGCATGGTGCAAGGAGACGTGATGGGGATCAGAGCTATACTCAGCCGAAACACGACCAAATCACCACCAGTATGCCAGAGAGTCCGAAGCTGAGATGCAGAGAGGGGCTTGCCCCCCCCCCCCGGGGGTAACTTTTCCCTGAAGCTCCGCCCCGCAACAAAGTCCAAAACCAACTGTGCTAAATCAAGCGCAGACGCCCATGCCGCGTGGCGGCAGGGAGCGAAGGGAGGTTATGCCGACGGCGTCTTTGAGCTCACATCCCCACCGCCCCAACCCCCTACCCGACCACGAAGGCGAGGCGCGGCGACAAACCAGATCCGTAGGACATAGGGCCCTCATAACGCCAACCACCTCACTTCCTATACCCTCATACACCCACACAGCTCACACAGCCACACAACCAGAGCCGAGGCCTCGGCCGAGCCCACCCCATCCCCATCCAGCCCCCCCCCAGCCGCACCTTCGCCTGCGAATTCGACGGCAGCAACAACCCCGACACGACGCAGGGCAGGACCAATCCTGTCGTACAACAAGGCAGACAACGGAAGGATGGCCGCAGTGGAGTAATGCAAACGCTAGGTGGGCTGGGAGGATCTGATGGCGCCGGGAAAGGGAGAGGGCCATCAGGTGGGTGTCCATCTGGGTCGCATTTCGCCCCATCGGAACCATGATCTGATTGATATGTCATAGTAGGACCGACACAGCGTCGCCATAATGTCGGAACACCTCGGAAGTGCCTCCAACCTCCCGTCCCCGCCCCCCCTCCCACACACACTGTATCCCCCTTTCCGGCAACCCCGCCCCCCCCCCCCGAGAGAGAAAACCGATACTCCAGGAAGCAGCTCCTCCCGTGGGCTCCTCATCCTGGCCATTGCGACGGTGTGAAAATGACCGCTCTGCTTGCCACGCAGAAGGGAAAGAACCCAGCACTGCCTGGCACCGAGGCCTTCGAAGGAGAGCTCCAAGAGCCCACCCCGCTCCGGACCCCTCCCTTTCCCCACGCCCACATGACCCAAATCACCCTCCTCCTCCTCTACTCGGTCCAGCTCCACCCAACCCCATTCCAGCCCTTCTTTTCTTTCACCCATATCCCCCACACTCCACCCTCATCCCAGGCAGCCCAGCCACACGCCCCACGGCGCTCCCAGTCGCACCAAGTCCCAGGTAGCCCAGGGCCATGTACGGCATTGGCCACTGTTGTGAACCCGCGCACAGGTGGCTCGTGGCGTGCATCAGCACCAGGACCAAATGGAGCGGCAGGAAGGCCTGCAGAGGACAGTCCTCCAAGACCCACAGCACATCCTGCGGTGAAATAATGATAAGGAAGAAAGAATGCATATTTCTTTTCGTAAAAAAGCTGCCAGGTGTTGCACAGCTGCAAGAATGGAATTGATATATAACGATAGGTTGCGGCTGGCGCAAGGTGGGGGAGGGGGAAAAACGGCTGAAGAGGGGCAAGCGGACGACCCAAGCTGGTGGCGACCCAAATGCGAATTGGGTGTATTGGGGGGTGGGTGGGAGACGAACCACTGAAGATTGAGGTCTTTGTGTGGGGGGGGGGGTGCGCGGGGGAAAGAGCTGATGCTGGTGCATGCGGCGCAAGGAAGATAGCAGCGCAGAGCAGGGGGTTGGGGGTATTGGAAGGGGCCAGGTGCTGGGCAATCGGTGGTACGGACCAAGCGGACCAGGTAGTTGAGAGGTAGGTTGTGCGGCGCGGTGCATGGGTGTTTTTCGAGCCGCGTCCAATCTAAAATCTGCAATGTGTGTCGGCATGTGAGCCGGGAATAGGGACCCAGCGGGAAGGCAGACGGGCGGGGTAGCTGCCTGGCTTCCGTGAGTGCGCAGGTGGAGAGGTGGAGACTTTCCGCCGCAGCCGCTTCGGCCTCTTACTTACGTAAGCGAGAATTTTGCTAAGAAAGCCGTTATAGGTGGCCAGTCCGGTTAACCCTGTGAAGTGGGTAAAGAGCGCCAAGCTGCCCACAGAGACTGTGGAGACCATCGGGTTGAACTCCAGCAGCGTCTTTTCAAAATATGGCACCAGGCCGATGGCCATGCACCAGCAAGTTGTGGCGACATATAGGTATGAAAGTAGCAGGCCTGCAGCGAGCGTGGACCCTCCGGCGTCGGCAGGCGCCAAGAAACGATGAATGAACATAACCTTTACTTACCTACTATGTTCCCTGAGGTTAAGCTGCTGGGGCTGGCAATTAAATAGATATAAGACATAGTTGCCGAGTATAAGACACCGGCGCAGAGTTGCGCTGCACGCAGGCCCCGAGCGTGCTGCAGTAGTACCCTGCATGCACAGCGGGGCACCGCAGTCAGCCAGGTCCCAACATGCTATGTACGCCATTCACATCCGCACCGGCGGGCAATATATGTCGTGGCATACTCAGCGCTGGGACGCTGCCTGCTGGCCGCAGCATCACGCACGCAATATCGTATCGTCCACCTGCATAGAGTTTCCGAGACATGGCAAAATGCAAAATGTTTGACAACACTTTTTTTCATCCATCTTGCGCTCAATTAGGCAACTTACGCAAAGGCCGCTCCGCAAGCACCGACAAACAGTGTGTCTGCGCCCCAAAGCCACGAGCATGGCATGCTCCCTTCCTCCTTGCTGCAACCTCGCTGAACGGCTCCTGCCCAGGCTGAGCTGGTGCGGTGACCGTCCTGATTCAGTATCTTCCTTGCATGGAATGGAGAAGAAGTTGCGCCATGTCAACTGTTTAACATCCTATTGTACTAAGCATGCCTTCCCATAAGTTATCAGTAGGCCTCCGGTTGCATATTGCTTTACTATTCAGTTGGCCTGCATCGTACAGTTGAAATAATTGACAATCTGAGGCGCTATGCGGTTATGGGACGTTCAACAGCTGCCTCTTTACCATCTGCAATGCATGTGCTGGGGAGTTACGCAATGAGATCCGTATCCGTGCTTGTCGATTGGTTGCAAGCCAATGGGTCAATGCCACTATTACGTGTCCGTCCCCGTCACATGTCCAATACGGCATCATCTTGGGGCACACAGCCGTAACGAGCGGATCGGCACCTGAAAGCCTTCTTACCCAGCCGCAAGACACTGGAGTACGGCATGCTTCATGCAGGCGAAATCCCGAATCCCCAAATCCCGATACACGGTTGAGACTGCTTGACTTCGGACTAAGAATCTGCCTTCTGTGGCGACCTCCGCTACGTGCTTATGCGGCTGGGGGCACATGGCCGCATGGGCTATCAATAGGGGTTCCCCCAATCATGAAAGTGCAGGTCTTTTCCTTTGCATTCCGCCTTTTTACGCCTTCCACCAACCCCAGCCCCGTATGGAGGCACATCTACATTGCTGTCACGGCGTTTCCCGCAAAGCCTTGCGTTTATGTGTCGAACAGGGCCCTGGAATATGTTGACATATGCCCCAACAAGGTCGTCACAGCTGGAATAACTGGAGCCGGAAAATTGCCTCAAGCTGAGGACTTCCCTGAGCTGAAGAGGATCGTAATGGACCGTGTGATGCTCCAACGGGGACCAGGGGCCCTGATACACAGTGGCACAGAGCCCTATAGCCATGGCAAGAGGAACTGCATGCTGCAGGTCAACCTTCGACGTGTTCCACGTTTCTTTATGAAGCAGCATGGCCTTACATATTGTAATTCCTTTTAACAGTTGTTCACCAGCCCTCCCTGTGCACGTATAGTTCCTGCCACTGTATTCTTGCCATGATACCCCGTTACCTTGTGGCTGCTTCCTCTTGTCCTAATGTGGACAACCTTTTTGGAGCAAGTTGTTCCATGGTTACCAGGGGTGACCGAACCCTCCGACTCCCAGGTCATCACCACCTTCCCCTTGGCTAAAGGCACCTAGCCGCTTGTAACAGATAGCGAAACCGTCATAGAAGCTGTAATGGACTGTCTTTTTAGCTGCTCACTGTCTGCATTCGGGACTTGAGATGGTATTCCTCAGCTTGGGATGTGTGTGCAAGATTGCACCCATGCTGCTCAAGGGAACCACCAGGCACAGCCGCACCAGCAACCCAGCTCATGCATGCTCCTGCACCAGACAACCGAGAATCTCTCTGACCAGTGGCAGGCATTTCATGTTCATGTCCCAAGCACAAGCCTGCAAGGAGGATCTTTCGGTTGGTACTGAGACAGGGGCGTGCAAGAGCTGGAGCTTGAGGTCGGGGTTGCTGGTGCAGCTGTGCCTGGCGGTTTTCTTGAGCTTCCTGGTGCCAAAAGCAGATCCGCTCAGCTGGAGTGCAGTCCGGCAGCGCACACATCCCAAGCTGAGGAATATCACGTCAAGTCCCGACGTGCAGAAAGTGAGCAGCTAAAAAGACAGTCCATTACAGCTTCTTTGACGGTTTCGCTGATTGTTACGAGCGGGTATGTGCCATCAGCTCGCTGGAGCACTCCAACAGAGACGTGCAACCCTAGGCAAGGAGCTGCAAATACCATGAAGGGCCTTGGAATAATTCATGCATTAAAGAAACCGTGAGCCATTTGCTCAATATAGTTGGCGCAAGCAGCTGTGGTTTCACGTGCGGATCAGTTCCTGAGAAGGGCGCAGCCTAAGGTAACGCGGTATCGTTGCGATATTATATTAGCAAGAATTATGTAATCCCATATGGTGTAGGGGGTTGGTGCACAACAGTCGGAAGAGTTACAAACGTAGGGCCCTGCGAGCCAATAAAGAAAAGCGTGAACGCTCATCCCCCTTGGTCAAAACGTCGTGTTGTTAAGGTGACCTGAGTGTAAGGGACGTGAAGACGATTGATCAGGTGCAGCTCCTCTGCCGTAACTAAGCATTAACATGGCCAGCGCTCTGCGCCAGGGCCTCTCGGCCCCGGTCGCAGCACCACGGACTTCTTCAGGCAATGTTCCTGTTCCAGTTGCTCCGGCACCCGTGTTGCGGGGCAAGAGTCTTGTTCCGGCACGCCGCATGGTGTCGGGACCGGCTCGCAGCATCCCTGCGCCTCCGCAAGTCGCTGCCCCAGAGTCGCCGGCGGCACAGGGTGTTGTGGAAGTCTTTGTAGACAACAATTCGGATACGAATTTTACTGTCATCAATGTCCAGGCGGCCAACAAGCCAGGGTTGCTTACGGCCATCACGGTGAGGTTGGCGGGCACTTCACCCATATGAAACACACTATTCGCTTACTGTCGGCTTGAACCCTTGGCACACACGTTTTGCATTATCTTGGTCACCATAAGTTGTTCGGGGTACACGCTGTCGCTACTTCTTCAGGCACTGTTCCGCGACATTGGCGTGGACGTGGGAAAGGCCGTCGTGGATGGCGATGAGAACAAGATCAACGACACCTTTTACGTTCGGACGCTCACTGGTGGAAAGCTTTCGGATGACAAGGCGGCGGACGCAGTGCGGTCACTGGAAGTGCTGCTGCGCTCCAAGCCCAGCAGCACTGGCGTCAGTAGGCCTAAGTTTGAAGCGCAGGGGCAGGGCCAATCGGGCAAGGCTCGTCTCTACACGTTGATGGGTGAGCCGGTTAACTGGCGATAGGTCTTCGTCCGGTTCTGATTGGCGGTCCGAAACAAGTGTGCGTCACAGAACAGAGCTAGAAACCAAAAAAGCAATTAGTTTGCACATGTAACTATTTATCTTTGCTGTTAGACCTAGTTACCGCTTGCCGTTTGTGTCGATGCGCGGACGGACCTGGACATTGGAAATCCGGCCATATAATTACCGTGTGAATACCATGCATGCTACAGCTGTATACTACATATCTATCCCGCGTTAGTTTGTTCATTCCTTTATGTTACGGGGCGGCCAGTAGCACATCGTCTTCCCCGTAACACATCATGACATTGCGGCAGTTCACACCCAAGCCTAAACGCCTGCACACGCTCTCACATGCTCCCATAATGTTTTCCCACGATATCACCCGCACGCTTGCTTCCAGACACGTACATGAAGAACGATGTCCTCAGCATCCAGGAGGACATCGTGAACCACGTGGAATACACCCTCGCGCGCTCGCGCGTCAACTTTGACAACTTTGAGGCGTATCAGGCAACTTCCTTGTCCCTGCGTGACCGCCTGATTGAGCGCTGGAACGACACTCAGACCTGGTTCAAGTGGGTCACCGAAGATATAGGGCAGGGGCAGGGCGTGGGTTTAGTACGTTTCCGCACATGCACATCTTTGCATGCATGCGTCTGACTGGCCAGGCGTTACCACGAGGTTGTTTGGGCAAAGGTAGGATGGGAGAAGCGCTTGGCCTGGTTGTTAAACAGTTTGTTGACCCTCTGGGGAGAGCGGGTTATTAATTGCAGCAGCGTGCGCGGTTCGTTGAGAGGCGGCACAGGGGCCTTGTGGAAATCTTCGTAGACAAGAATCCGGATGTGTACGGCGCCACGAAACAACCGCCGATAACAAACCCGAAATCCCCAAAAACCCTAAGTTAATGTTTATACAGATGAGGGGAATGAAGTTTGAGCACACAACCCACAAGCTGGAGAGAGGGTTGTGCCGGCTTCTTTTGAGGTGCCGTACGTAGTAAGAAATGCCTCAGCTTCGAGGTGGACCGTGTTTGGGAACATCCGCGCATCTGGTGTGGTGGGATGTTAAGGAGGGTTGTAGTTGTAGTCGAAGAGATCAAAAAATGAGATGCAGCGTCATGTGGGTCAAGTGGCTCCATGTGGGTCATGATCTTTAAAAATAAAAATTTGATGGCCTCTCGGATTATTGAGGTGGCTGTTGCTGCTGCCATTGCGGCTACTAGTAGCTATGAGAAGTTCATCTGTTGGCTTTTGAACGTGACGGTTCAAAACCGGCAGATGGAAGGAGAAGGGCGGGTCCATGGGGAGCCTCATTCGGAGGCTGCTGCTACGTGGATGGCGCCGGTTAGGAGCTCCGAAAGCAGTTTGATGGGCGGAAATGGGTTGGCTGGGTCAGCTGGTCAGGTGATAAATGTGTAGCCCTTCGGACACGCCACGACTTAAATCCCCCTGTGTTTTAGTTTTTTGCCTGCAGGGGGGGAAATGTGGGGCTTGGATGATGATGACTCTCCTTGCGTGCCCGTGTATGCAGCCTTGTGTGGGACCAGGCTGCAAAATCAGGCAGGGGGCCCCGGCACGCGTGTCGCGCATGTGGCGGTGCACAGATATGTATGCATGACGCCACCCCTGCTGTATGCCCATGACATACGACATGACCCAGATCGTCGTCGTCGCCGTCGTCGGCATACAACATACAGTATATACGCCACCCCACCGCACCCCTTTTTCCCCGTCATCATCGCCACCCAATCGCTATTTTCCCAATCTTTCAGCCATCACACCCCCCCACTCCCCCACTTCCCCGTGTGCTCCAGGGAGAAGGATCCAAAGCGCGTGTACTACTTGTCCATGGAGTTCCTAATGGGGCGGTCACTGCTCAACACGCTGTACAATCTGGACATCAAGGAGGCGTACAACGAAGCGCTTGCGGAGCTGGGGTGAGTGTGTCCATTAGGAGGGGGGTTGGAGGGAGGGAGGGAAAGACGAACCACGGGCGAGGGGGAGGGCAGGGGGGCATGTAGCGGGAGGTGAGGGGAGGAGGGGATTCTGAGGAGGTTGTGAATGGGTGTATGAATTAATGTATCAGTCGCACAAGCGTCCGTCGTGTGCCTTATACGTCTCTCTGCGTGGATTATTATTTGGGATGGCGACGGGATGCGGAGGGGGAAGCTTGCATGTTGGCTACCGTACATGATGCTGTTTCATTCATCTTTTCACGAGGGATAAATCTCCCATGTATTGTATTGTATTGTGAAGTACCAAATGCGTGGTCTGCTGCAGCATCGCGACCTAGGGTGAGGGGGACCAGCGGAGAGGTGCCAAGTTATGTTACGTTACAGTACGACATGTTCCTTTTTAAAGCCGCTCGCCATGTCCAGGTGTTCGCCATGAGACAGGGGGCTTCCCATCTTGAGAGGAGGAGCCCGTCGTGTGTCTTGTATAAGCAACCTCTTGAACCCCCCCCCCCACCCCTCCCTGCAGCTATGACTTGGAAACTCTGTCGGAGTTGGAGCGCGATGCGGCGCTGGGCAATGGCGGTCTGGGTCGCCTGGCGGCTTGCTTCCTGGACTCCATGGCTACCCTGAACCTGCCGGCCTGGGGGTACGGCATTCGCTACCAGTACGGCATGTTCCGTCAGGTGCGTGTGTTGTGTGTACGCGGACGTGCCGGGGTGTGTACGGCATACATAACCATAGGGCCTTTCCATTGTAATGGAGGAGGGGTCCGTAAGTTTGGTTGTGTTGGGTGGGTGGGGGTGGGTGGGGGTAGGATAGGGGTCTGCATTCCTTGCTTCGGCGGTAGTCTCGAAGGGGGGGGAAAGGGAGAGCATGGAATGTGATTAGAGGATTTGGAAGAGGTAATAATTTATAGGTAAGAAATGAAGGTAATAACTTTATAAGGGGTAGGGGAGGGCGGAGTGTTGAACAGCAGTGTTGAAGCAATGCTCCCCATGGTTATTGGTTGGGTGGTGATGATCTGGGAGGTCAGGTTAACGGCAAGTTGAGGAGTGCAGAGAGAGGTGCTCCCGCTGCCATATCGCAGTATCAATAAAAAAATTTATTCCTGGACGCGTCCCCGTTCATACACAACGACTCCCTGTCCTCCAATTTCGCACTGTAAAATCCCCCGAGCCCCTGGCAAAATGCCCTCTTAAAAAACGCTATAAAAACCATTCGCTGCGGCCGCCCTCTTTTCCACAGACCATTCAGAATGGCTTTCAGCACGAGCAGCCCGATTACTGGCTGACCTTCGGCAATCCCTGGGAGATTGAGCGGCTCATTGTGCAGTACCCCATCAAGTTTTACGGTCACGTGTCGGTCGTGAATGAGGAGGGGCGGCAGCTGTTCAGATGGAACGCGGGGGAGACGGTGAGACGGCACGGCGTATGTATGTATGTAATGTATGTGTGTATGTATGTATGTATGCATATACATGCATGCGTTTTGTTTCTTGACGAAGTGAAAATTTGTGTGTGGGCGGGGAGGGAGCTGAAACTGACGAGAATGGCATTGGGGAGTGTAAACGTGTGTGTTTTTCGTGTGTCTCGACCTGTGTTTTGGCGGCAAGTCGACAAAAAAAAGGCGGAGGGGGAGGCGGAGGCGGAGGAGGGGTTCGCGGGGTGGGCGGGGTTGGCGCAGCAGCGCGGGGCGGGGAAGGGATTCCTTGTGTGGGTGTGTGGCGGTGCCCTGGAGGGGATTTGTGATGTACCTGATGACAGTGGTGATGGGCTGGCTGGTCTTGGGCCCCTTCAGGGCTCGTATCGCCGGCCCGTTGCGCACCCTCGGGGGGAGTACGGGGTACGGCGGCGGCCGTGTGTGAAGGACCGTGTGTGAAGTCACGCCTGTTTCCTTGCCCCGGACAGGTGACGGCTGTAGCGTACGACAACCCGATTCCTGGTTTCGGAACCCGAAACTGCATTAACCTTCGTTTGTGGGCCGCCAAACCCTCCAAGGAGTTTGACCTGGAGGCCTTCAACACCGGTGAGTGCGGGAGAGTGGGTGGTTGGTGAAGATGTTGGGTGGTAAGGGGATTGGTAAGGGGCGTGGTGGAGGTTCGAGTGGTCAGGGTGTGGGGTAAAAAGGGGGAAGACGAAGTTGTGACTAAACTAAGGCGATGACTTCTTCGTTCCCCTTCGTTTTCTTCCCTGAAGGGAAACCCCAAGTCTCCCGTTCGTTTCCAAAGCAAAGGGGTTCTCCTTTACTTCATCCCCGTTAGGGGGAGTAAAGGGGAGGCAGAGCACTAGAGGGTGGGGCGCATTGGGTTTTTTTGAAGCGTGTGTGTTTTTGAGGGTGAGGAGGGGAGGGTGAGGAGGGGAGGGTGAGGAGGCGGACGAGGAGGGTCGTGTGTGTGTGTATTGTGAAGGGAAGAGGAAGAGTGGTTAAATAGTTAGATAAAAAAGTAAGGTGAAATACACTACGTACTGCCCAGATTTCAGAAGCCCGTTGCCGTACACCACGCGCGTATTCTCTCCATTCTCGTGTTTGTTCGTACTCCAGGTGATTACGTGGCGGCCATTCTCAGCAAGCAGCGTGCCGAGACCCTGTCCTCCGTGCTGTACCCCGATGACCGCACTTACGAGGGCAAGGAGCTGCGGCTCAAGCAACAGCACTTTTTCGTGTCGGCGACGATTCAGGTGGGTTGCGTGTGCGTATGTGTGTGTGTGTTATTTTGGGGGTGAAGGGGGGTGCGGGTTTGTGTTTTTGCGGCGTCGCGGCGTGTGTGGCGGGCTCCCATGCCACCATCCAATATAAACCATCTTTCTTATCCCCTCGCGCGCCATTCCTCCTCCTAACTCCACACACGCGCCGTCCCTCCGCACTCACTTCCGTGTTGACGTAAGTCGCCATGACGGGTTGGTATAACTTCTTACATACTTGTATGGGGTATCAGTTGGCATACCTCCTCGGCATCAGCTTCACGTGGTTCGTCTTCTTCATCGTGTCTTCCCCGCACCCCACCCCACCCCCTCCGCCTCCTCCCCGCCAGGACTGTGTTCGCCGCTACCGCGATGCCCATCCGGATAACAACTGGGAGACCTTCCCGACCAAGGTTGCCTTCCAGCTGAACGACACGCACCCCACCATCGCGGTGGCGGAGCTGATGCGAGTGCTGATGGACGACCACAGGCTAGGCTGGACCAAGAGCTGGGAAATCTGCACCAAGGTGGGAGGGGTCGTGATGCAGTAGCACAGCAGTAGAAGGGCTGGAGGGGTGCGTGGAGGGTTGTGGGTGGTGTGTGTATATGGGGGGGCCCGCGGGGGGGGGCCGCCCGGGGGGGGGCCCGCGGAGGGGGGGAGCCCGCCGGGGGGGGCGGGAGGGAAAGTCTGTTTTGCCTTGCTAATCGTATGAAGCTGAATGTACCCACATCCGTGCAGATGGTCCTTCGAAACCTGTATACGACATGACAGGGGGGTTAAACGTTTTCGTACCGCCGATTAGTGCATGCCGCGGTGCCCCCCCCCCCCACACACACGCACATGCACACACCTTTTTATTTGCGCTACTGAACTGACTGTCTGTCTGTCTGTAGGTGTTTGCGTTCACCAACCACACGGTGCTGCCCGAGGCTCTGGAGAGGTGGCCGGTGCCGCTGCTGGAGAAGCTGCTGCCCCGCCACATGCAAATCATCTACGACATCAACTGGCGGTTCCTGCAGCAGGTAATGGATGGACGGAGGGAGGGAGGGGAGGGAGGGAGGGGGTATGCGGGTTGTGGCAGGGCGTGTATGTGTGTGTGTGTGTGCGGTCGTGTTGTTGTGTGTGACGTTTTTGTGGCGTTTTTTTACTTGGGTTTTCCACTGGATAGTCACGTTTCTTGTGTATGCCGTACACGCAGGTTCGCAACAAGTACGGCGACGACTGGGAGCGTATCAGTCGCATGTCGATCATTGAGGAGGGCGCCAATGGGGAAAAGTGAGTTATGTATGTGTGTATGTATGTATGTATACATGTATGCAGACATGTATGTTTGAGCATGCACCCGTATGTATTTACTGATCGAGTGCATATGTATGTCATGTGCTTGTTGCCGTACTCGCTGCGGTGTGCCGTACATTGCCCAATCTCGCATGGATGAGGCTGGCACTCACCCTCCACGCCTAACAGCTTTTGGGATCGCCCTTGTGGTCTCCAGCCTCATAATTGACTTCTCCCGCCTTTCCCCCCGTATGTGTGTGTGTCTGTGTCTCGTTTGTATGTATGTCAGGTTTGTCCGCATGGCCTATTTGGCGGTGGTGGCCTCCCACTCCGTAAACGGAGTCGCGGCCATCCACTCTGAAATCATCAAGGACACCATCTTCAAGGACTTTTATGACCTGTGGCCCGGCAAGTTCCAGAACAAGACGAACGGTGAGATAGCCACCTGCCGCTACCTCGCGTACCTCGCGTTGCTCAACATCATTATTAACATCATGTGCTGTACATCAATATACCGCAACAGGCCTGCCCCAATCTCAGCTTCCTTTCCATCAGTTTCTCTCGCTCTATCTGTGTGTTTTGTGGGGGGGGCGAGGTGGTAGGTGAGTGTAGTTCGCGACTTGTGTTTAGAGTTTTTCGTTGTCGTCTCCTCCGCGGTGGTGATGTATGGGACAGGTGTGACTCAGCGCCGCTGGCTGGCCTTCTGCAACCCGCCCCTGCGCAACCTCATCACCAAGCGGCTGGGCTCCGACGACTGGATCCTGCACCTGGACAACCTGAAGGGCCTGAGGGCGCACGCGGACGATCCGGAGTTCCAGGCCGAGTGGCGGGAGGTGAAGCAAGCGGCCAAGGTCAAGGCGGCGGCGCTCATCCAGCGGCTGACGGGTGAGGGGGGTGAGGGGGGCCGCGCCACGGGGGGTGGGGGGGACTGGGGCCAGGGAGGGCCCGAGGGGTTCAACTGGCGGTGTGCAGCTCTTGGTAGGAGTTACTTACAATACACAGCATGTGTGTGCCTGCGTGCGGTGCATATATGTGTGTGTGTGTGTGTGTTTCGCATGTCCCCGCCTCCAGCGCTGCCTACACGAGGGATTCTTGTTTTGTTGACGAATATATTTTTTTGACGGCGATTGGCTGCTACTGCTCCTATTGCTACTGCTACTGGTGCGATTCAGGCGTTAAGATCAACACGAACGCCATGTTCGACATTCAAGTGAAGCGTATTCACGAGTACAAGCGCCAGCTGCTCAACGTGATGGGTATCATCTACCGCTACGACCAGGTGCGTGTGTGTGTGGGGGGGGGAATAGTGTATGTGTGTGGGGAAGAGACCGGGTTGGCAGCGCAGTGGCAGGTAATCCCCCCCCCAAGTACGGATCCACAGTTCCATTATAAACAAACTGGACAGAAGCGGTGCAAGCGAAGTGCACTTGACTGTTCGTCCCATTCCAAACAAATTCTTATGGACGAAGGAGTCCTCTTACATAAACTTCGTCTTTTGACGTCAACCCTACCGCACATCCCCATATGATGCCCCTGTGTGCCCCAACATCAACAGATCAAGAAGATGAGTCGCGAGCAGCGCAAGGCCGTGGTCCCTCGCGTGTGCGTCATTGGCGGCAAGGCTGCTCCCGGGTACGAGATGGCCAAGCGCATCATCAAGCTGGTGTGTGCGGTGGGCGACAAGATCAACAGCGACCCCGACGTGGGTGACCTGCTCAAACTGATTTTCGTTCCCGACTACAACGTGTCATCCGCGGAGGTGCTCATTCCGGCTTCGGAGCTGAGCCAACACATCTCTACTGCTGGTGCGTGGCGGGGGTGGGGGTGGGTGGGGGGGGGTGAAAGAGATGGGGGGTGGGGTGGGGAAGGGAGCGGGGTGAGTGGTCCGGCTGGTAACAATCGGAAGGTGTTTCTTATGTATAGTTGTGATGTGGTTGAGTGCGGGTGGTGAGTGTGGTGAGTATTGATGAGGGACAACCCGTGTAACCCGCATATCGCATCCGACGACGAGAAGTACGGCTGTGTAGATAAAGTCAACATGTTTTACTTCGCTCCCTCCTCTCAGTGGGCTATCTGGTTTCGTTTTCATATGTTTTCCAGTTGCGTTGTTGTAGTACTCCTTTTATATTTTTCGTATGACGTTTTTATGTACGCATGACGCGTTTCTTTCTTGTGTTGTCTGTATGTCTGTTTATGTGCATGTACTGCATGTACTGTGGGTACTGCTGCTGTGCTGCGGTCCAGGCACGGAGGCATCCGGCACGTCCAACATGAAGTTCACCATGAACGGCTCCCTCATCATTGGCACGCTGGACGGCGCCAACGTGGAAATTGCCGAGGTAGGTGCGCCCCCTACCCCTACCCCTACCTGCGCAACGCAACTACTGCGGATACAGCTCATCTCATTAGGCTTTTCTTCGAGGTTACTCGTAAGGGATAAGGGAGATGAGGAGGGTAGAGGACAGGCGGGGGGCGGAGGGCCCCATTTGGGCGGGCAGGGAGACTCCCAGACACAGAGAGCTGGACCCGGACCGGGAGGGAGACCCGGAGGTTTGAACGGGGAAGCGGGCTGGGGCGGGGTGGAAGCCTGGGAATGTGGTTTTGAACAAGTCCGCGTTTTTGCAAATCGAGCCCATTTTTTTTGTCAATATCATTCCACTCGCGCAAGAGCTTTTCTCTCTCTGTTTTGCCGCCGTTCGCCGCAACTATTACCACCACCACCACCACAACAACAACAACCACCTCCGGAACCACATCACTCGCACTCGCAGGAGATTGGCGACGACAACATCTTCATCTTTGGTGCCAAGGCCCACGAGGTACCTCGCCTCCGTGCTGAACGCCGCAACCTCCGGCCCGACGACCGGTTTAACCACGTGATCAGCATGATCCGCTCGGGCTACTTCGGCTGGGAGGACTACTTCTCACCGGTCATGGACGCCATCACCACTGGCGGGGACTACTACCTGGTCGCTAACGACTTCCCCGCGTACATCGATATGCAGGTAACAGAGCGTACAAGACCAAAGGGGGAGAATGAGGGAGGTAATGGAGGAGGTGCGACCAGGGAACCGGTTGCATGTATGTGTGGCGCGCGTTTTTGTACATGGCACGGGTGTGGGTGTTTTCCCAAGGAGGATCAGCACAGCGCGCCGACGCCGACAAGCATATAGAAACATACATGTACCAAAATGTCGCATATCTTTTGCGTCGGCGAACCTTCCTCAGCGCCTAGCTCGCCCTCCATCAACATCACTATTGGAAAAACCATCGTATCCCCTCATACGCTCTCCCCGTCCCCCAATATTGTCCTGCCGCCCTCAAGATACCCCCAGACACTCTTTTTTGCTCACACTGCCCGCTAACTCACAACGCAAAACCACAGAACTCTCGACTGCCATACTGGATACCACTGTTTTAAAGATGCAATCCAAATCCAAATCCAAATCCTTGTGGGCCCATCCGTATCCACTCACCCCTCTCCCATCCCCCACCCCCACCCCCACCCCCAGGCCAAGGTTGACGCCACGTACCGTGACCCGGCGAAGTGGACCCGCATGTCCATCATGGGCACCGCCGGCAGCGGCAAGTTCTCCACGGACCGCACCATTGCCGAGTACGCGCACGACATTTGGCACGCAGAGCCCTGCGCTGTGCCGCAGCCTGAGGCCTCGGGTAATGGCAGCAGCTGAGAGCTCTAATAAGACTAGTAGAAACTGTGGGTTGTAGATTGGTGTCAGATTTGGTGTCGGTGATCGGGCCTGTCAGGTCGGAGGGGCTGGAACGGGTATTTGAGTTTGGATTGGGTGATGCTGTTAGGACTGAGACTAGGCGACCTAAGACTCGTATGACGGGGCGGGGACGGGGATGGGACCGGGGAGAAGGCATATTGGAGGGTCGCGTTGTTGTTGTTGGTGTTGCTGTTGTTGAGGGTGGTGGTGGTGTGGCTTGGCCTTGCTGCTGCTTGCCGGTAGTAGCTAGGAGGGGTTGGTTTGGGGATGCAGCGGTGGCAGGACAAGGCCAAGGCGCTGCGGAAGTTGATGATTGTGTGGAGGAGGGCGGGGTGGTTGGCGGCTGCAATGGAGGGAAGGGAAGGGAAGGGGGGGAAAGTAGACGGGAGGGCGGGCGGCAACTGCCGGGAAGGTGGCGCCAGGTCACATGCCACGCCCCGCGGCGATGGCGACGGCAAAATTGCTCCTCTGCCTCTCCCACGTCCTGACCCTCGCACCTACTTTACTCGTCTCCTGGGCTTCAGGACGCTGCGAGCATTCCAGGATGTGCATGACGCATTTCAGAAGAACGGTTCGAAGCAGCTCAGGGTGGTGGGGAAGTTGAGGAAGAATTAGTCGGGTGGAAGCGTGAGGTGTTCGGCTGTGTCGCCTGTGTCTGGTCGGATCGGAATTGTGTTAACGGAAATTTGGAGGACGGGCTGTCGGTATCGGGAGCAGAAGCAGCATCAGGAGAGCAGCAGCAGCAGCAAGAGAAGCGCGCGCAGTGGCCTTGTCGTCAACAGCATCCCTGGCCCCCTCACTCGAACCGTTCTCCCGCCTCTGATTCTTTTTCACCTCGCCACGAGAAATGACGAAGAAGGGAAACATGATGTAAAATGTTTGCTCGCCAGTGGTGTATGTGTGTTTGTCGATGCGCGTTGCTTTTGTGGTGGATGTGGTGTATGCGCCTATATAGGTGTCGTCTAGTTGTCGTCTTGATGCTATAAGAAAAATGTGACTCTTGCTTGGTTTGCCAAGAAATGGACAAGGAACTATACAACTTCCCGTATGGATCACTCCACCGAAACTGAGGTGTTGGAGGAGCAGAAAGGGAATTCCTTTCTCTAAAACGGTGCATTACAGTTCTATTGGAGTAGTTATCGTGTGTCGTTTGGGCGTTTGTCTTATTTGTGCGGCGCAATTTCTAACGGTCAACTAGAGCGTAAGTTTATCACAGGATATGTTCACCGTCTGGCGGACTTGGTGGTCTTTCTGCACGGTCGGCCTGCTGGTCATATAATTTGACCACCGCTGGTTTTTAGGTTACAGAATTGTTGGGGGACGTGATGGCAGCAAGGCTGACCAGCAGCTGTGGTTGCCGCGGATAATTCGGTCTTTGCCTTGAAACAGGTGCCCAACGTGCCCGACAGGTCCAGCTGCTTTTGCTAATGCACGCCGCCTTGGCAGCCTAACAACCGTTGTGCGCCGTCCCCAGGAAGCTGACAGGAGTAGCAGGGTAGCCTTGCACCGGAAGCGTCAGGATGAGCAGCAGCGTGAGCAGAAACGGCTTGCCATGGATGGAGGTGATCTAGCCGAAGTAGGACTAGTGAGAGAGCCTTACACTACCATGCATGCATACAAAACACGTTCCATTAGTGTAGACAGGCATTTAAAGTGGTACAGCCTGATACAGCCGCATTCAGCTATCGTGCATAGCTAACCCTAGATATACCACATTCAATCTACACACACGAAAAGAGTATAGACCTACGAGTTTGCGTAAGTTATAAGATATTCGGAAATGGTGCCTTGGCCTAAGACCTGTAAGCTTACTGCGATGGAAAATGTTGGGGGAATGACAGAGGAGGATCATGGACGGATGGAGGAGCTCGGTGCTAAGAGGCAGGAGCCCTCAGCGGCCTTCAGCGGTAGGGATGGACGGATGGGCGGGCGAAAGAGGGCAAATGCGTCGCTGCGCGGGTGTTCACAGGGACAACAGTGATGCTGGATGCAGGGCCAGATCGGCAAGGAGAATATGTGTGTGTTACGTTTGAGCCTATTTAGACTTCTCCACATATGTGGTGGGACCGAAAGACCCCGAGTGATGGGTGGTGAGCCGCCTTATCGACCGGTCACCGGCGGAAGTACGGCAAAGCGCATTAGGTAAAGCGGAGGCCTTATGGCGAATACGGAATTACACCGACGAATGAGAACGAATAAGCGAATGAGAGTAATGTAACGGGTCGTGCTCGCGACATGGTGGGAGCCTGGCCGCGTTCTTCGCACGGGCGCCTACGGTGGAAACCCGCGGGCGTTACAGCACAGGACCAGAACCCGCTGAAGAGGCAGAGAGTCGGCAGAGGACGAGGATCCCTTTCATGCCATCAGCGGTGATGAAGACGACAGTGATAAGGGCGCGCGAGCTGGGATCGACGAGAGTGCGTGGAAGGGGATGATGATGACGCGACGTCGCCACAACGGGGACTTGGGGGCGCGCCCGTACCTCCCAGTGGCGCCAGCAGGGGCGGGGATGGCGGGCGCGGAGCAGGGGGTGGAAGAGGGGTAGCTGGCTTGGCCGGGGGCAGAGGGTCCGGAAGTTATGCGGGAGGGTACAAAGCCGCTGTCCTGAAGTGATTGCTTGTGTGGCCACCGGGCGCTATGTACGCACTCGCTGCCTGCTGGGCGAAATGTGAGATATACATAGATCATTTATATGTTTGTTGAAGTAAACATGCATGTCTACGCTACGCAAACCTGTGTGCGCGTCTGCACAAACATGCATTCATTGCAAGTACGTAATTGCACGTGTACGTGTCTGCGGAACGAACGGTGTTGCCTTATCAAGCAATTTTTTACAGATGTATACATGATGTGTACTCGCATTCATGCTTAACATTTATATAGGTATCGTAAGTATTACACATACCCCGTTTCGGCCTAAATGAAAAGCTAGCTAGCAGCAAACTATAGCCTGATTTCGGTGCTTATCACACCTTGCAGGCGTTTCATTATAAAATGCATCCAAACGCGCAGACGGGGACATACAGACATACATACTTGGCCCAGTTACACCTGCTACCAACAGTTTTCCGGCACATGAACCACCTCAGCCAAACACGCTGAGCATCCTGCTGCACTTGCTGCTGCCCGCCGCAAGAAACATTATGAGAAATCTAGAAGCAGAAACCACACACACACACACACGTACCACAAGCACCGTACGCATGATCGAATGCCATGTACGGCAAGCGCCCTTGCAGCACATCGGAGCAGTAGCCCAAATACAATTCAACAGCTCAAACACCCAAAGCAGAGGAACTGAGGCTGGCAGCTGGAAAGAGGTAAGCTTCCTAACGATACATAAGCTCGTCTCACCCACCGACGTGTCCTATGAACGTTAGTATATAGGCCCAGGCTCTGGACGGGCTATGCTGCGCCGCTAACCGTACCGCCATCGTATATTGCACCGTCAAGTAATAAACGAACCATTCTTCTGGCCAGCTAAGCCCGCGCCGGCGTTCACCATGAATCACCCACCTTCATGCCCAGCCGCTCTACATGTTTAGCACGGGCGGCGTTGCAATCTGTTGCAGAACGCGATTAAGCCGCAATCGCCATGCCAGTAATGAGGTGGCCCGGCAACATCCGCCAACACCAGCACCGGCCGGCCATCATCACCCTTCGTCTAACATGGCAACATGTTAAACGGACCAAATCATTAACGAATCCAAAGGCTAAGCATACAAATCTAAAGGATAGTCTCCGGCAGACACTTTGTATTCAGCATCCACCCCACATCGCGTTGTGCTACCTGCAGCTGGACCCGATGATGCACCAAAACAACCACCGTGTTGCTCGGCTCTGCTTGACTATGATGGCATCCAGGTTGACGGGCCTGTGCTCAGCAGTGAATAGACATCCAACTTGCGGCTCGATGTCCCCCTTCAGGTACCGCGGGAACAAAGCACCACAGGGCAACATGCACTTCGGCATGCGTGTACACTACTCCTGCCGCCCGATGTTGAAACCTTCGTGGCAATATCCTAGAATCACAAGGCTTGCGTGAGGGGTGTTGAACTTCCACAGCCACCGCACGCCCACCAACGCTGACGAAGCACATGAGTCTGAGATGGCCACGCCTTACCATGCCTTACTACTTGCCCAAGCTCCCAATGGCCCCTCCTCTCCGCCCACCCTACCCAGAAGCCCATCGCTAGCTGAAAGCGACAAGCCTGTCCCGATCGCATCTGTCACATCCCGCTTGTCGTCGCTGCGCTGACACCCCCGCACTCGCCTCGTACCAGCTCTTATGTACCGCAACAATTTAGGACAAATCCCATTCTTTCATGCTGCCGTACTGGCCGCTGTATGCTGCCGTACTGACTGTACCGCCGTGCCAACTCGTCTAATTACGGCGAGACGAGAAGGGCAGCTCCCGAACTGCCCTCAAACACGCCGGGCAGTTCGCAGATGAAGAGGCTCAGTCGCATGCAGCTCGGTTGCAGCTCCCAAGTACATGCGTCCAGCGGAGATACCATCCCGGCAGCAGCAGCAGCGCCAGCACCAGCTGCACCAGCACCAGCACTCTGCCTCTGGGCGTAGGGGCATCGGATGATGTAGCAGCCCGTTGCACTGGTTGTGTTGAGCTTGGAGAATGTGACTGGAGTCCCGTCCATCCACCGCGAGGCAGCGGGGTCAGAGAAACCCAGCCACACGGTTACGGTGCCGTTGCTGTCGATGGCGCTTCGCTGAACCTGCGCGGTGCGGGTGTATAGGTGGGTGAACGGGAGGGTGCACATTTACATGTCCGTACTAGCTATGAATTGAACTGAGTCTGATAAACATGTTATGCTGGGTTTCAGTCTTGAGAATGCGGTGCAGCTTAATCGTCAGGGCACGGTCAAGGCGTTTTTGGTCTAGTGGATAAATCATAGGAGGATGAGGTGGTGACGGCGGCATCAGTGATTAGCTTTTTTTCATTCTTTCCACGGGCGTGCTGCTGTAGCGTGAGCACCTTCCACAAGGTGTCCTCGCCCCTTTCCTATTCCCCCTCAATCCGTCCCATAGCCCACTTTTTCTTTCCTCGCCCCAACCCACCACTCACCCGAATGGTTCCGTAGATCAGGGGCTGCAAAACCATGTTGAACTCATCGGGGGTGTTGTACGACACCATCTGGCCGCCCAATCGGCCGCAATACGTACTGGCAGCATTGCTGTTCAAGCCGTACGTGCTGTACACGTACGTCTTACCGTACGATGCAGCAGCATTGATGTAGGTAATCACGCCGGTGTCTGCCGTGTTGGGCGGCGGGTGGCGCCGGAACATATTTGTTGGGAGGGAGGGGGGCCGAAAAGGGGGCGAAGGGGCCGGAGGGTGGGGCGGGGTATCACCCGGAGCTAAGAGGGGGCCCAGGGGGTTGTGCGAATAAAACGGAAGTGAAATGAACGGAAGTGGGCGCTGCACTTGTCATCCTGTAGGTCAGCAATTTTTAAAAAGCGACTTCGTGAGCTAAGGTTGGCGAGGAGAGGCGAGGGAGATGTAGAGTAGATGAAAGGCAAGTCGTGTGTAGAGAAAGAGAGAGAGAAAGAGAGAAAGAGAGAAAGAGAGAAAGAGAGAAAGAGAGAGAGAGAGAGAGAGAGAGAGAGAGAGAGAGAGAGAGCACACATCAGGGCCACGTACCCTGTGCGAGCGGTCTCCTCCATGACTCTGCCCCACCCCACCCAGCACAGAGAAAAGCCCCAATGCAGTACGTTAGTGAAGCATAGAGCTATAGGCACATCGCCTGATCTGATTTCCTAAAACACACATGCCGGCACGCTTTTCACCGCAGCCTCCATCCTCACCCCCGAACCCGCCCGCATCATCGGCACTCACATGTCTTGCAGATGAAGCCCTGCACCGTCCGACTGGTGCAGGGAATCGGCTCCAAGGTGCATGACGCCGCCACCGCCTGCTGGCCATCAGTGCCACTGCAAACCGCAGTATAGCACAGGCCGCCCTGTAACAGGGTACAGCATCAGCATCAGGAGACAGACAATCCATTTTCTGGAACTTAATTTCTCACAACGAGAGAGGGGAAGAGAGGATTGAGGGGGAGGTTAGAGTAGAAGAGAAAAATATTAGCTAGGAGGATTCGGAGATGGAGCGAAGTAAGGTGGAGGGACGGTGAGCGCACGTGGACCTGGATAAACCTCCGACGGGCGTCTGCCCCTTCTTCTCTTTCCTTCCCTTCCCGTCCCTAACATGCCCTCCTCCCTCCCTCCCTCCCTCCCTCCCTCCCTCCCTCCCTCCCTCCCGCCCTCCCTGCCCTCCCTGCTCTCCCTGCTCACCACCCTCGGAGGCTGATTGTTGGTCCAGAAGCGAATGGCTCCTCCATCCAGCCAGGTGGAGTTTCCCGCGGGGTCCACGCCAACCCACACACTCAGGCTGTTCCCGAACCCACTGCCGGTTTCAGCGCCGGAAGAGAGGGGAGAGGGGAGTAGGAGCGGGAGGCATGGAGCGAAAGGAAGTTTAAGTTACGGCACATTGACCGCACCCATGCGGCAACAGCGGCAAGCCAGCTGCTGCGGCTGCTGCTGTGCGCCACCAGCAAACGCTACATGCAAACATCCATCCATCCATCCATCCATACACACATACATACCTGTAGGAGCTCAGTTCCGCCAAGGCCGCCCGAACTTCATTCCACTCCGACGAGCTCACCAGGGAAACCAGGAAACCACCGCCACGGCCGCAACGCGCACGCGCGTCGTCAAAGGAGATGCCGGGCAACAAGAAGATGCCGAACACTCGACTGTCCTGGTAGAACCTCACCGCGGGCTCTGTGTGGGGGGGGGTGAGGAGGGGGGGGTACGTGAAGCGTGGGTTCGCCGTGGAGAGACACCGGGGGTGCGGGTCAGGCGGGTCAGGCGGGTGCGCATCGCATGCGGTCGTATCACCTGTAATACGCACGGGCCGGGTCTCACGCGGCACTATACAGATCCCCGAGCTACACACACGCTCCGTTAGCTTCTGGCTGATCCCTGGGCCGCACCCGCACTGCGGGTCGTTACTGCCGCCGTTTCATCCACTGCATCCACAGTCGCATGGATCAACCAACCAATCACTCACTTGTCAAATCCTGGCCAGGGGTATTTTGTGAAGGCGGTGGCGGGCTGGGTGGTGGCGGGCTGGGTGGCGGTGGGCTGGGCGGCGGTAGACGGGGGCTGGGCGGTGGCGAGCTGGGCGGCGGGCTTGGCGGTGACAGCTTTGGTGGCGGCGGCGGATTCGCGGTGTTGACCTGCGGGGGCGGAGGTCTTTGCAGCGGCGGGGGGCTGGGCGGCATCTGGACGGGAGGTGGGGATCGCACTGGTGGCGGGAACCTGGGGCTCGGAGGGATGCGTGGTGGCGGACTCCGAGGTGGTGGTGGAGATGCACGAGGAGAAGGAGGCGGGTTGGGAGGCCGCCGAGGCGGCAACGGGGGCGATGATGGTGGTGAGGGCGGCGCGTCGGTGCCGTACGTGGAGATAGCACCCAGCGGGCAGCACTGCAGGTTCGGAAAAGGAATGGCGGATCGAAAAAAACGAATATTAGAGGGGACTGAGGTACGACACGTTGAGGGGAGTAAATGTACGAGTGCGAGTAGGATGGATCGTGGGGCGGGAGGTCGAGGCGCACGAAGGGCTGCAAGTGGGTATGGGACTAATTTGACCTGGACTGGGGCGCAGGAGCATGTGCGGGAGATGTGGTGCTGCTGCGAGAGCAACCCCAGGACGGGATGTCTGATGTACACTGCTGGTGTAGCAAAAATGAACAGCAGGGACGGGTAGGGATGCATGCAGACCAACGTATGCAAAACCGGCTTGCATGCGCTTTCCGTACCCGCGGCGGTCCCTACCTACCTGGTGCCGCATCGTACTCGGTTACGGCAACAAAACCCTAAGCCCACCCTGACTAGATCACCCTTCCCTTAGGCATTCCCTCGACCTCCACCTTTCTCCCTCCGCCGTAGCGAACCACCAACGAGCACCCATTTCTCTCTCCCACTCTCTCTTTCCCTTCCTTGCTTCCCTTGCGCCCTCCCTCTTATACACCGCCCCACCGCTTCAATCAGCCACCCGAAAATCCCACGAATCCCTCAAACCAAGTCGAACTCCATTGCCGTACCTCGTAGCCATCCACCTTGTAGTCGTACAAGGCAACCTCTAGCAGGTTCAGGTCACGTGTTTTCGGGTGTGCTAAATCCCGAAGCGTGGAACACGGACTCCTTAGCGTCCAGCACAGCACGGCCCCGTCGGTTGTGTTGATTGTGAAGGGCAACATTGTGATCTTTCCGATGAACGTGTCGCCGCTGCGCTCGTAATACACTGAGGATATAGGGCCCACCACTGGGCCGCCTTTAACCTGGTAGGTGACACTGTTGACGGCTTGTTTGCACATGGGGTCTGTGCGAAGAGGGCGGTGAGGGGAGAGAGAGTACTGTTTGAGGAGGTGAGGAGAGCGCGACTGCTGTAAACGTACATTTACGAACATACTTATATGCATTTGGCCATGAACGCTCTTAATCCGCACTCAAAGCTGGAGACCAGTTGGAGACCCTGCTCTGCAGCTGTGCAGCAGGCCCCCCGGGCGGCTCACCAGGGTAGAATTTGAACTTATGGAAGCCTGTGTTGCAGCAGCGACGAGGTCCCGCATCGCAGAGCTCGGGTGCCGATACTGAGAACTGAAAACACACCCGGGTTTCACCCCTGGTGGCGCTCCAACTAGATGGGACAGCAGGGGAGTGGAGATGGGGAGGGGTTGCATGTGAAGGGGGCCCGGAGGAAGGCAAGGTGAAGGGGTATGTAGGACAACGACAGGTGAGGGGATGGGGATGGGAAAGAATTTCATTCGACTACGTGGGGTTAATGTGCGAAGATGTGGATGAGAGTAAGAATGCGGACGCAGCGATGTGGTAAGTGTTGGAAGGCAGGCAGGCCCCATAGATTCCATTTGGCCAGTAAGAGATGCAGTAGGAGATGCAGTATAAGAGATGCAGTAAGGCAGAAAGTGGGCTAAACACTCATGCTGTGCAGGAAAGACCCATGGGTCAGGACTAAATCGTCCTTGAGACTCCGTTTTTCTCTTCCCTCCCCCAAGCACCACCCTAACACAGGATAGGTAAAAATCGTTATTCCAGTGGGCCGGGTCATGCAGGCATGAGTTACTGGCTCTAGGGCAGTCAGCCGGCTCCAGCCCTGAAGCCCGTTTCCCAGCTACCTTGTGTTCTTAAGAGAGACGCTGATGCGGCTCGTGCCAACCGTTTTCTCGCAGCTTTCAAAAGGGAAGCTAGTCCCCGCCAGAGGTCCCGCAAGGCAGCCTTTTGGAAGTGGGAAATTTATTGAGGATCAAGATTTGAAACAAGGCAGGGAATAGGAGGGCCCGCGTCACCGCAGATAGGCATTGCATTGCATGGCAGGTCCGGGTGGGGAAGTTAGGGGGGATATAACGAGTGGTTTGGAGGACTCAAGGATTGAGGAAGGGCTTAATGTAGTGATGCGTGCCGAGGAAGGCGAGCGGGGAGCTGGAGGAAGGGAAGCAGGGGAGGAGGAAAGGTGGAGAAATCAGAGCCGAAGACGTTACGCGTGCAGGGTTCAGGGTACATGGTTTTTGTGGATGCACAGCAAGGTGCGTCATAGCAGGAGGGCGGAAATGGGCGGAGGGAATGTGGAGTGGGGACGGTGAGGCATGAAAAGAGGGAGATGTGGGCCTTGGGTTGAAAGTAGTCATGTGCATATCTTGGGTGAGGGCGCGTCTCGGGGTTGGTATGCTCAGAAGCAGGACACGTAAAGTTTGATACGCTGACATGCTTCGTGTATTGAGTTCTTCATTCAGCCGTCGCGAGGTGAGCAGTAGCCAGAAGATGGATACGCATGGCCTCGACGCGAAGACAGGAATGCCGTTTCGGTCGATCCATTGGTGACCCGAAATGGACATAGAAATATGCTTCCTTTCTTTCGTTTGGTTTCCACTAAAACGCCCCTTAAGAGCGATGCCAATACAATAGTGCTGATGCTGGTGGCCACAGGCAGGCAGGCAAGCGGGCAGGCAGAAATCTACGGCATTGGACGTCGTTAGGTAGATCTAGAAGGACCGGCAGCAAGGAGTCCAAAAAAATGTAGCGATGCAAATTGAGCTTTGGGCACAAGCTCGGACGCAAGCCTACGAGCATATCTGTGCACATGGTACGACATAGCTTGGCGAACTTACTCGTGATTGCAAAGACAGCTAGGAAGATTAAAAGGAAGTTCCATCTCCCTAGGTTTGCCCAGCAGCTACGGGGTAGAAATCGGAGATCTGCGGCATCGCGGCTCCCGCTGCTTCGCCGCACTGGTTCTCGGCTGACCATACTCTGAGCTCAATCTCAGATGGAATGTCCTATGGAATGATCTCAATTGGATTATCCGGAATATGTTCCTCGTTAATCTACCTGCCTGCTTATCGCACTCAATCGTAACTCATTGGTTAGAGCGTGTAAAGGTACATGTATATAGGGAGGAAAACTATGTGAATAAATATAACATGATGAAATGTGTGGTACAAAATTGAATCGGGGCGAACGTAGAGGAAGGTCGGGGATGCCGGATCGACAACGGGTCCCGTAATCCCGTCCGACTGCTCATACCTGACAACCTCCTTTTCAATTATGGATAAATCCCTACAATAAAAGTTCGTATAAATCAAACCGCTTCCCGTCTGTATAGGAGTTAGTACATACAAAATATGTTGAACATATGATCGATGCTACTATGTCATCAGATGTACAAGCATCGAAGGCAGCAACGAGCATGAGAGGTACGAAAGCAATGCCTTGCGTAAATAGTGTCTGCCTATAGCATTATTGAATTATCGAAAGGTCCTTCACAATCCATAATCGCCTTCAATTGTGAATGGTTTTATGTTACCGGCGTATCTACGATGATGTAAGGTGCTGCGCCCCGCAGTAGAGCTACAAGGGATCGTGCTGGCTCCCATTCCATGGCCTCCCAACATGCTCTGTTTGATGACTGAATCCCTCTTCCGCACGAATGTAAATGGATGTTGGGGCATATGTGGGCTCACCGCAACTCAGTTATCCCCTTTGGGCGCTAGTCTGGGCTGATAGTGCGGTGTTTCCTTTTCTCCGTGGCTTTTAGGCGTTTAGGTATTGCCCTTGGGCCTTCGGCTCGTATGGGTAGTTTTACAGGTATGGGGTCACGCACCCCCAACCATGTAAAGCGACCAGCTTCATCGGTACAGATTGATGGCCGCAGCTCGTATCACCTTGTCGAGACATTGTGTGGTGTTTGTGTACGCATGTGATGAGAAATGAAGAATTGCTGAGGTGCTCGCGCAAGTTTTTTCCCAACTCTTAGGCTAGGGTAGGGTGGGCTTCCGGACCCCCGTCCATCTTTGTGTGCGTCCCTTTCTATAGCATCCAGGACTTGCGTTGAGCCGACTGCAGTATACTGTACGCACTCAGCGAAGCAGCCAGGTAAATCTTTAACAAGCCGAAAACATCACATTTCTCATGAAAGCTATGCGCCTATGCCTGACCTGTCGCGAAGGTGCAATTACATTTGCAACCAGGAAGGCAGGTTTCCATGCCGCTGCTTTGCCCAGAGCTGGTGGCCTTATATTTACGATACATGATTTATTATCCGTCCATATAATGAAGTTGTGAGATAATATGTGCAGCGATCCCGAGGCCGATTATAAGAGGCGGCGATGGCAGTCTTACAACAACGAGACCTCGATAGCACTGCTACATGCGCCAAAACTACCAACTGAGAATTTTCTTTCGGAGTGTATAGAAAGCGACGATTTCCTGTAATTTCGGAGCCCGTTGTACAAAGTACGGACTTGCGATGTTCCTCTGTAGCTGCAAGCGACAGTGCTGGTTATTTTGGGGGAGTGCACCTGCGCCGGTCCTACCCCACCAGTGTTTTTTTTTCGTTTTGGGCCTAATACCCTAGAGTAAAAAACTGGGTGTTTCTTGCGGTTACAATTCCTTTTTGTATAGTCGCTGGGGGGGGCTGCGCCCCCCCCCGGACCCCCCCCTAACCCCCTCCTCAAAGGCTGCACGGTGTGCTGTAAACAACACCTGACGTCTGGAAACAAACATGCCGTACCACCATCGTTTTGTGCACCTAACTGCATTTGCGCCAGGAAGAAATGCTGCCATAAGGTCGGATTCTGATTGAGTTGGGTGGAGGGGGCCCTCTGACTCTTTTCCCCCCCAACCCCCATCGTTCATGGACCCTGACAGTCATAAATTTACACACACCCACACCCACGCCCGCACCCACACCCACACACGTTCAGCAGCTATTGTACATTACGGTACACACATCGTTGTTTGTAGATATGCGCTGAAGTACTTAAACTTCCTTAAGCGTCTTTTCAGCGTCAGCTGCTATGACGACCACGATGATCGCCAGTTCAAGGCCAGTAGACTGAAATGCGGATACCGTTGAAGATGATGATGTCACGATGACGATCTCCCGAACGATCGGTGTGTGTCAGGAGCAGCCTAGCTTCCAAATCACTGAGGAATGTTTCTGTACCTCAAATTCAAGAAAGCTAGGCGCATGTGTGGTGTGACATGGCGTGGCGTGGGATTGCACTCATTGGCGGAGCAAGTAGGAGGAGGTAGGCACAGGCTGGTGTAGCCATAAGGGCGCGAGACGGGGACGAATCCCTTCAGAGGGGAGGAGTGTAGTAGAAATCGTACGCGCTGTACTAAGCGTCACACACTGTAAGAGTAAAAACGCTACAGCACTCCGCCAGCATCTTGCGTTGGCAGGCCTTTTCAGCGGCCAGCTACTAAACCAAAGTGGTCGTTATGCAAGTATTCATATGGAAACAATGGCTCGGATTAGGGGGATTAGCGGAACTAGCACACGCAGGATTAGCACGTGTTGAACATGTATGACATCTCTTTTCACGGACTATGGGGAGATTTGTAGTTTATAATGATTTATCGTTTAGCTATGCTTGAGCCTTTGAAGTTCTGAATAAATCGGTCGCGCCCGCCGAGTACCACATTTTACGATACGAATTAACGGGGTATACCCCGACATCTCAATAATTGGATTATTGGATTGCATGGATATTTCTTAGAAATGTATGCATTTGGAAAGGTTAATTAACGGTTGTTTGAGTTTGCGGACCTGACCAATCGCATGGGGATTCCACCGAAAGGTTGGGATTCTGTTGGCGCACATCACCCCTTCTTGCGAATTGTATCAGGCAAATTGCTATGCTCATGGGAGCGGTCACAGATGGACGATTAGCTATCACCATTTTTTTGTTCTCTTTATTGGAGGACTTTTCAGGCTCAGGCCTATTTCATAATAATGGGGGATCCTCAGCCCTCCTTTCCTCGCGGTTTGACTGTTCGGGAGTCTGGAGCCTGTTAAGACCAGCAAAGCGCCGGACCCCGCTGGGTCCTATTACTGTGGTTACCGTTCACTGGTATATGAGTGTCGGTCATTTCCAACACCCCCCCGTGAGCGACACTCTCTCGCTCCGGGCCTTCCCGTGCCTCATCCCGGTCTCCCATTCTCTGGGCAACAGCCAGTGGGTATCGGTCCAGCGTCCACTCGGCAACGCTATGCGCCATTCGGGGCTCATAACCTGTTAAGACCAGCAAAGCGCCGGACCCCCGTTGGGTCCTATTACTGTGGCTACCATTCACTGGTATATGAGTGATCGGTCATTTCCAACAGAGCCCACTGTAACAACCACACACACAGAATCGCATCATTTGTTTTTGTCTTCTAGATCAGCCTAGATGTCATCTGCGGCCCCAGTGATGACAGTTACCTTTAGGAATTTAGGTTAAGCAACATCTTCTGCTGATATCGCTGTTACGAGCGGGATGGTTTCGGAGACGGTTATGGAGAGGCTGGCAGAGGCTGTGGGGTGTGGAGAGAAAGGTTTTCTCCCAGTTCATTTGCGTACATACTCCGGGTTATCGTGGTAGGCTGCTGCTGGGCCGGGGCTTGTGGGGGCTGCACTTGCGGTCTGCTTCGGTAATCCTCCACGGCTCCGATCGGCGAGGATTGGCCATGGCAATGTTCAGTACCCCTCTGTTACTTATTTATGCTTCCTCTCTGAGTTTGGAACGTTTCTAAGCATTTGCGCTGATGTCGTACATACTCCGTGATGACTTAATCCGAATCCTTGAAAACACTGGTGCAAGGAATAGGAGGACTTGATTGGCGTGATGGATTTAAACTTTTAAACTTCCACCCATAAGCACTTCCACCCATAAGCCGCTCCCAATCCTATTGTAAACATCCTCAAAGACAACTCCCAAACCTATTATCCCCGAATTCTAAAGTATACACACGAACGAAGGTCATAAGAATCTGAATCAATTGATCCGGCACCGATGCATCAGCAGATTAGTCAGATAAGAGACAGATGAATGGCTTGGGCTACCGTCTAGAAGACCAGTAAAGGCACCGTTAATGATGGCCTGAGTGCTGCTAATTTACTTCATACCCCAAAACGTCAAAAAAGACATTAAGACACAGCGGAACGCAGCAGGTGCGGCACATAGAGCATCGCCTGCTAGTGCCAGCTGGATGGACAATCAACCAGCAGGGAAACCAAAAGGCGGGCCAATAACATACGCTAATGATGCTAAATGTTGCTAAAGGGTCCTTTGTCGTCAGCGAGAAGTTAGCATGTAAGCTCTTTTTGCATCGGACCTTGGGCCTTCGGCTCGTATGGGTAGTCTTACAGGTATGGGGTCACGCACCCCCAACCATGTAACACACACACACACACGCATCGGACCACAGCTTAAAGCAACAAACATAACGAGACAGCAAATGAATGCCTGGTGCATCGACTGCGACATACAGCAGCGATGCGTTCTCCCGAAAATACGCAGCAGCCCAAACAACATGCAATGCGATGCAAGAGACTCCGACTGCAGCCGTGCCGCCGTGCACACTTGAATACTTGCATGCATGCAAACACCGCCGGCGTGGAAGTGACATCCATACACATTTAACAGCTATGAGCGGAAGATATGCTACTTATCACTCATTCCAACAGGGCAGCTGGCTAGCTAGCCTAGCAAGTACGACAGTACGCAAACCGCCTAGATTGCTACGCACTGTCGTTCGTACGACCAGCATCATTACAGCAGACCTTTAGTACGTGAAGGCACCTGGGCACAGCAGAGGGCGGACTGCTGCTGCTCAAACTCCCACATGGACAAGATCATATTGTGACAATCACAACCCAAACGTGTGGATGTAGGTGTATGCGAAGGAGAAGTTTCAATCGAACGATATGCTTCCCTTGTATATACGACTCCTCGTCCATCCTCGCGCGCGCATATATGCATGGGAAGTCGCACGAACTGTTCTCCGATAGCAGCCATGCAGCACCACGTACATGCATACATGCCTTAAGAAACTAGTGAGCAAAAAAAGCAGAAGGATTCCAAGGATGACGTGATAAGGCAAAGCAAACGATGTCATTCGTCTCTGCTAAGGAGGAGAACCGAGGGACGGCTTACGGAAAAAGTGTGAATTTGATGAGCAGCACGTATGGTCGCGATAGAAAGGGCTAGCCAAGCCCTTTCTGATATATTCTGCGTGTATTATTTGAAAACGTTTAGAAACCTATAGATAAATGCCATGTAAACCCAGTCAAAGAAGCCACCTTAAAACCTTCCTGCTAAATGGGGCCTCTGTACCACGTGTAATCGGTGCCTGTGCTGGCTTGGTTGCCCTTACGTATCCAACGGCAGCGTGTACGTCGTGCCTTCAACATTCGCGCGTACTTGTTTGCACTTTTCACTGAGCTTAATTCCTGCTGTGATTTGCTGAAATGTATAGCCGTACATGGCACTTTCACATGTAGTAGTGCCGCCACGTCGCCACGCGGCATTCACTTCGCAACAGCATAATAAGCTGCGTTCGTTCACAGGCCGCCGCTACGGAAATCCGTTTAGACAGGATCACGCACAGCCCTAAGACACCGAGCTAGTGATGTTAACGAACCAGCTGCGGTGAGGTGTAAAGAGGTGGATGGTGGCCGACTTTGCAGACACTTCACTCTGAGCACACAAATACATAATAATGAGCAGCAGCACGCGACAGGCCTTGAGGCCAGGAGGGTTGGCGGCCCGGCATCAGAAGCAACACGCATGCAAAATATCACCTTTTTCTTTCTTCCTTTCTTTTCTCCTTTCCGTATCCGCGCACGTACATGGATATATACGCCCCTGTACACATATACAATCCAGTCACTGGCAACGTCTTCATCAGGCAACGTTGTTATCGTAAATTGATTGTACATCTTCGTCATGATCTAAGCTTCCGCAGCGAACATGCGATTTCACACTTACGTGCGCGACATGTCGACATTTTTTGGGGAGTCTGCTGTTCAGAATTCGTGATCGCCACGCCGGGCCGAATGAAACTTCCCACGCCCCCTCCTCGCTCCCACCCCGCCATCCGTACACCCCCCAAAGAAACTCCCTTTCACGAGACCCTCCGCCACGTTGCGCAGCGCCACCTCGGGACTCACAACTGACCTCGGGCGACGAGTGCCATACTTATTGCGCTCTTCGCCGTAGTTTGTCTTGTTGCCGTACTTAAGTCCCAGTTCCGTATTTTGCCCATTTGTCGTGCAATCTATCTCACTACGGCGACACAGTGAAGGTGGCTCCCGAACTGCCCTCAAACACGCCGGGCAGTTCGCAGATGAAGAGGTTCAGTCGCATGCAGCTCGGTAGCAGCTCCCAAGTGCATGCGTCCAGCGGAGATACCACCCCGGCAGCAGCAGCAGCTGCTGCGCCAGCAGTAGACGTTTGGCTGTAAGGGCATCGGATGATGTAGCAGCCCGGTGCACCCGTTGTGTTGAGCTTGGAGAATGTGACTGGAGTCCCGTCCACCCACCGCGACGCAGCAGGGTCAGCGAAACCCAGCCACACGGTCACGCGGCCGTTGCTGTCGAAGGCGCTTTTCTGGACCTGCAAGGTGCGGGTTGGTTCGGGTATGGCTGCGTTGATGCAGGTGGAGTGGCTTGGGCACGCTTTGTACGTGCCATACACAGTGCCGTACACCGTGAGTGCCGTACAGCCATGCTGTGGCGCACTGACGGGCGGTCCCGGTCCGCACTGAATGCCAAAGAGGTTACGGCCCGATGTCCGCTTGACCTGCCCCACCTAATTTGGTATCACTCCGATATTTACTTGCATCTACACCCTCATCTCCCTTACTGCCCCAACCCCCTCACCCGAACGGCTCCATTGATCAGGGGCTCCAAAACCATATTGAACTCATCGGGGGTGTTGTACGACACCATTCTGCCGCCCAATCGGCGACAGTATGTATTAGCAGCGCTACTGTACATGTCGTACATGCTGTACACATACGTCTTGCCGTACGACGGGGCAGCTTGGATGTAGCTCATTACGGCAGTATCTGCCCCAGTTATCGGGTTGTGTTGGAGTGTGAACAGAAGACGAGTGAAAGGCAAGGGGAGTCAAAGGCATGGACATGTGTTGCAAGTTCAGTTGACTTGCATAGGCTTTAGAGGCTTGAGAGTTGGGTGGGCAAACGGCATGGATGCGCGAAATGCAAGCTATTAATAACCCTGTGAAACTTAATATAACGATTTGGCGCACGGATATCAACACGCGCTTGTGGCATGGGCCCCTACCGCCCTGGGCTCCACAATTATCAAATGGTGCATGCGGCTCCACGTCCCCAATGAGACACAAGCCACATAAGTGCCATCGGTGCCCAACCGCTGTATGTGCCGTTGCCGTTCTCGTCCATGAAGATGGAATAATGTAACATTCCGGGTTTATGCATTATCACGCGACTGAAGCAAGCACCACCGCGACTATATGATAAGCCGCGGTGAGTTGAAACACATCAAACACGCCCTCTTGTTCACTGTTCATCCGTCCCGTTGCTTCTCTTTCCAACTCTTGAAGCGGCGGCGGTACTTGTCAGCAGCTCATCAGGATGGGGGAGATGGCTATAGACCTATAGCTAACACCTCTACCCAGCAGGCGAGCGTGGGACGAGGAAAACGCTGATGGTCGACCAGCAGCTCCGTCCCAAGGATTGATGTGCGATTAAGAGCAGGCTCCATCCGCAGCTTCCATCCTCTCCCCCCCCACGAGCCCGCCCGCATCATCGGCACTCACATGTCTTGCAGATGAAGCCCTGCACCGTCCGACTGGTGCAGGGAGTCGGCTCCAAGCTGCATGCCCTCGGCTGCCTCTGGCCATTAGTGCTGTTACAAGCCGCGGTAATACACAGACCGCTCTGCGATAGGGCCAGAAAAAGCAGCAGGAGGAAAGCAACAGCGCATTTCGTATGTATCTGTATCTTTATCTGTATCCTGTATCTGTATCCGTATCTGTATATGCATGGGAGAGAACATCATCGCAGAGGTGCATGTGCATGGTGCATATGCGTCGCTGTCGCTGCGGTCTAAGACACATTCGCATTGCGTTACAGCGTTGGATAAATTCGCGTCACACTCACATGCACGCACGCACAAGTGCCTTGGCTTGCGAAACCACACACTTACATACATGAGTCGGGTAGAGGACGCGTTTCAAGCAACATGAGGCAGCGGAGAGTAAGAGGAAGGTGGTGAAATACGGCGAAGTATGGGGAAGAGGTGGACAGGCGAAGAGTGTGAGCACTTGCAGACACAAAAAGATCGCTCGGGGGGGTTACCGTCGCATCCCAGCCCTCCCTGCTCACCACCCTAGGCGGTTGGTTGTTGGGCCAGAAGCGAATGGCCCCTCCATCCAGCCACGAAGAAGTGTCGGTGGGATCCACTCCGATCCATGCATTCATACGGTCTCTAAACTCGCTGGGCACGGGCAACACGAAAGAAAGGAAGGTATTAGGAAATGAAATAAATTTGAATCATCTATTGTCTTTTAAGGATTGAGTTTAAACTACAGAAGCGTTTACTGCAGAAATCTGAACAGGAGGCGAAAAAAGTACGGACGGATGATTCGGGACTAGAAGCAAATTTTCAAGCAATTTTATGATATTTAGCTGTCTATTATAAGTCTTGGTCGAATTGTAACGGACGGGCGACCGAAGGCGGACAGGTGTGCGGACACAAGGGTGTTCATCGTAACCCTACCCACGACTGATTGATGCGCAACCATAAACTTGCAGAATAGTTTTTTAAAGCCGCATACCCACGGAAGTATTGTATGAAAAAGTCGCAAGCTATTAATGACAAGCTACTGATGTGACAAGACGAGCAGGGCCAGTAGTATCACCAGCTGGGTCTCATGTGGCCACAACTCTTTCTTTCTCTTCTCGTCTTCTGTGTCGTTCGATTTCCTTGCTTAGCGCCCTCTGGCAACAGGCAGAGTCAGGCAGTGGGAAGCCCTTGAGCAGCGCCACATGGCTCGTTTCCGTAGGTATGCAGGTACGCACAGGGTGGGTCACCCCCCAGAAAGTGCATATATGATAAACACATACATACGTACATACATACGTACATACATACATACATACATACATACATACATACATACATACATACTTGATCGCCCGGCGTTGCCGCAGGGTCTTCCCGTTTGAGTACTTTTCAATTTAGACCCAGTGCTGTGGAAGGGCGCGGACTTGTGCGGTGTTACCCCCTCGACGGGGGCTATCTCCCCTGGACTAGCCCAGGGAGGGAGAGGCGGAGGAGGGTAGTAGTCTCAGGAGGCTGTTTGGCGTCTTGTGGTGTGAGCTCTTTGCGCTCTTTTTTGTGCATGAGGATTTTTGAGCTTGGTGACCTCCCCAGCCCGGGATGACTCGTCGGGCTCCCGGTCGCCCAGGTCCTGGTTGCGAGCTCTCTGAGATGCTCGGTTCGTTCGGTCGGCAGGAAGAGCCCCCCAGTTGCGACTTCGTTTATGTTAGGAGACCAACGGGCATAGATCCCGTCTAGTTGGAGCGCCAAACAAGCGCTGTTGCGTGCCGGCCGTCGTTTCCCGTGCGGCCTGACCCGGGGGCGGAGTGCATGAGACTAACCAGCCGTATGCACCCGCCCCTTGCGCTGTGTTTCGGCTTCGGCCCCCGGCTCTCGCGGCCCACAGTGTAATCAAAGTCATACATACATACATATGTTATATACATATGTTATATATGTTATACATACATACATACATACATACATATGTTGCGTGCCGGCCGTCGTTTCCCTAATTTTCAGAAAGTGCATATATGATAAACACATACATACGTACATACATACGTACATACATACATACATACATACATATATACATATGTTATATACATATGTTATATATGTTATACATACATACATACATACATACATATGTTGCGTGCCGGCCGTCGTTTCCCGTGCGGCCTGACCCGGGGGCGGAGTGCATGAGACTAACCAGCCGTATGCACCCGCCCCCCGCGCTGTGCTTCGGCCCTGGGCCCCCGGCTTTTCAGCCCATAGTGTAATCAACGTCATACATACATACATACATACATACATACATACATACCCGTAGAGGCTGGGCTCCGTCAAGGCCGTCTGGACGTCGACCCAGTCCGCAGTGTTCATCACAGAAACCAGGAAACCACCGCCACGGCCGCAACGCGCACGCGCGTCGTCAAAGGAGATGCCGGGCAACAAGAAGATGCCGTACACTCGAGCTTCCCGGGTAAATCTCACAACAGGCTCTGCGAGGGGTAGGAAGAGGCGCATCCGCATGGGATGAGATGAAATGAAATGAGATAGGATGAGGTGAAATAGGATGGGGTGGGCAAGTGGTGTTTGGGGTGTGTGGTGGGTCCCAATGCAAGGCATAGGCCGAAGAGCAGGCAGCTACTATGGCGCCCTTCTCATTGTCTTGGTTGTCTATGCGCGCCGCCGCAAGCTGTTCCAGAGCTGGCCTAAGGTGACCTGTTGGGTCGATTGGGGGGATGAATCCCAACACCCCCCACTTCCACACTGCGTCAGGCAAGGGGCGAAAAAGCAAACCATGAGCCATTTTCAAGCTCCTGCCCGGCTCATGGGTCATTAAAACCAAGAGGACACACTTACTCGCCAGCCCCCCTTGCGGGACAGGGGAACTACTTGTCGGCATGAAGGGCGTATCCTCTGACATAGGAGGCTCGCCATCCGACATACTAACGAATTGGGGTGGGCTTGGCGGTGGTGGTTTGGGTGGCGGCGGGCTTGGCGGCGGTGGCCTTGGCGGTGGTGGGCTGGGTGGCGGCGGGCTGGGTGGCGGTGGGCTGGGTGGCGGCGGGCTGGGTGGCGGCGGGCTTGGCGGTGGCGGGCTTGGCGGTGGCGGGCTTGGCGGTGGCGGGCTTGGCGGTGATGGGCTTGGCGGCGGTGGGCTAGGTGCTGCTGGGCTTGATGGCGGACTTGAAGGGGGCGCGTTAGGTGGTGACAGGCTGGGCTGTAGTAGTTGGGGAGGTGGGAAGTTTGGCGGCAGTGAGCTGGGCAGAG